ATTTGTCAAAACAATTTCGTCCCGCCCCTCGCCAAAGCGGTTACCATACCCAAGACCAGAGTGTTCAAAGTTGCTGTTAACACTCTTACTGCGACAGCATGCCACATATGGAGGGTCAATGATTGGACTTTATCTTTGAGACAAAAGGAAATCAAATTCACCACTTTTCAATTTCATACTGTGTTCATTTTTGTCCATTGATTTATGTAAAATGAAGTGTTTGTATCTTGTCTGCTAGACCGCTTCCTATACTTTTATTGTTGATTTGGTTGTCCTCAAGTCTGCCTAAATGTGTGGCTAAAAGGCTTATTGGAATTCAATCAAAAAGTTTATTCCTGCTAAGGGATCTCAGAAAGCTGCCAAGTCATCCAACTCAAAGCTGATTCCTTGGTATGATACTACTGGGAAACCATTGAAACCTGAAATTTGGGACTTCTTTTTAAGCCTTCTTGCCATAACTGGTGTCAGTATACTTGGTCATAAGAAGAGTCCGGTGTGGTAGTTATTCCTGTGTTTCTACACCAAAAATATAAAAATTTATTCTCATCTTTTTCTACATCAGATATAAGGTAAAAGGAACATCAAAAATGGATTCCTGAGGTAAAATAACCCCTAGTCACCCACTACAACTACCCCCATATCTCTCATAGTTTAGAAGTTACACAGATTTCAACCTATCACAGGATGTCTCTTGGATTCTTTACTCTGATTATAGCTCATTTTGAATACTGGATGCATACTGGATATTGAGTTCCTTTTTTCATATTGAATTCCTTTATTAGCTCATATTCCATATTGAATTCCTTTGTAGGTGCACATGCATTCCTTTGTAGTAGGACCTTGTAGGCTAGCTAAAATCCCTCAAGGCTGTGCTCTCACCAGACAAATTCCCTCACCTGCATGTACTAGACTAGCTAAATTCCCTCATTGGATTTTCAGGCCAGCTAAATTCCCTCACCTGCATGTACCCTGGAGCTAAAATCCCTCACTTTTGTCTATATAAGGAGGCCTCTGCCTGCCAGTTGTATCCCCTCCTCATCAGATGCTCTGTAGTCAGTCCCCCCCATAACACTACATCACTCGTCACTCCTCATTATTATTAGCTACCTAATATTGAGGTTTTACAATTATAACCCCCCTTATATATATTATAACAGTTCTTTATAGTATAGAAATATCAACATTACTTTTTTCATAACCACTCAGCTATCTCACCTTTGCCTGAAATCCACTGCTTTTTGCCCTTATACACCCCATCTGCAAGGACCTGGGTTCAATTCCCATTCAAGACATCCACTTTAACTCCACATTAACTCCACATTAACTCCTCCTTAAACTTCAACTGATCTCCACCTGTGCCTGGTCCTCCGTTCCATTCCTGGTCGTAGCATAAACTTTAAATACTATCAACTTGAGGTTGCGCGTTGTGGTGTGCTGTGCCTGTTCCAATGCCAAAAGCATACAGCAGAGGTGTTGGGATAGCATAGGTACATACATGTGACAATCATTACAAGAGAAGGAACAATCATTATGGATGAGGTGTGGTATATACGGACAGGATTACATACAATGCGTGGATTGGGAGAACATATCTCGACCAGGAATGGAACAAAGGAGTGGTGTGCATACGAGGAGCGGAGTGGGAGATCATATCTCAACCAGGAATGGAACGGAGGAGTGGAAGCATATACGTGGAGAGGAGTGGGAGAACATGTCTCAACCAGGAATGGAACGGAGGAGCGGTGTGTAATAAGGGTACTTTATGTTTTACGTAAGGGTACAGGGTACGGATTGTAGAAAGTTAAGGGAGGAAAATATTGAGGCGGAGGGAGGAAGGAAGGAGTGAGGAGAGGCTTTGACCCCCAAACTCTGGATGGAAGGAGATAACAGAAGGTCTGGCAGGCTAGTACTGCCTATGCAGAGTGTTCTGGAAGATGGCTTGGTTACCTGGCAACACATGACATCATGCTGCGCTTGGTTCTGGAAGATGGCTTGGTTGCCTGGCGATGCATGACATCATGCTGCGCTTGTGTGCTCCCTTGCATGCATATTATGTGACAAGGTCTGGAGTTAAGTGTTCCTAGCACAGCATGAGCTGCGCTATTTGTTTGGAGGCTGTGCGCAAAGGCTGTGCAGGTGAGATCCCCTGCAGCAATATTCCCTCACAAGGAGTCCCCTGCAGCAGAAATCCCTCACTCTTTAATATAAAAGAAGGACCTCTCCCCACCAGAAAGTCTCTTCTCCCCATCAGCCTACTGCGGTAAGTTGGTCATAGTTAGTTAGCAAGTTAAGTAGTGAGTTAGTTAGAGATACGTAGCAAGTTACAACAGTATAGTGAGTAAGAAATCAACACAGAGTTCGGAATTTGAAGCATATTAGTAGTAGTAGTCATCATATAAGTAGTAGTACATTAACAATTAGCCAATAACAAGTAGTAGTAGTATTAGTACCGGAGCTCTAGTTTTTTGATTAAAGTGCCTTAGCAAGAAATTGTTCGAGGAGAGATCATTAACAAACTCTATAA